AAATTTGAAATTGCCACATGCCAAGTACAATGCTGCATCTCCACAAGCGTTGTGTAAGCAATTCTGCTAAAGCCTCCCACCTTGTCATGGATCCTCAGTCTCTCTCTAGCACTGGTTGGCTGAGCATTTATTTGTCAGTCTTCCTTTTCCTTAGTTAGCTCACCATTTATGTTGCATTCGTCTTTTGTTTCTGTGAAAAAAAAAACCGGTTTCTAAAAAGCAATTAAGCAATCAAAGCAATCTCTTAAGAGGGAGCATAAAACCCGATTTCCATAACATTTACACTGTAATATATATTATAAATTAATGGAAAGATAATTTAAAGTATGGGGGAATATCCATAAGTGATACACAAATACTGTGTCATTTTATATAAGGGATTTGAGCATCTGTTGCTTTTGTTTTCAGTGGGGGTCCTGGAAGCAATTCCCTACATATACTAAGGGATGACTTATCTTAGTCTCAAGAGTAAGGCACACCAAACCAGTACTATTTTTATGCATAAATTTAACTTTTTAAAAGAAGTACTATATTCAATGATCTAAATACATATTAAGGAGCCTTGATGATGCAACAGTTAAGCAGTAGCTAGTTAATAAAAAAGTTGGCAAAGTCAAACCCACTTAGTAGCTCCTAAGGAGTAAAGTCCTGACAATCTGCTTGCATAGATCCAGACCAAAAATGCAGATATATTCTGTCACATGGGGTTGTGATGAGTTGAAATTGATTCAAGAGCACCTAAAGTTAACAGACCTATGGTAAAAGTGAGGAGGACAAGACTTTGTCTTGCTTACTGTGGACATGCCATGAGAGATCAGGCACTGGAGAAGGACATCTTGCTGGGTAAATAAGGTCGGCAAAGGGAGAGGAAACCCTCAGAGACATGGACTGGCACAGTGGCTATGACAATGAACTTACATATAGTAACAACTGTGAGCATTAAGTGCAAGACCAGTCAAAATTTCATGTCGTTATACATAGGGTCACTAAGTGAGTCACAATCAACTTAATGACACTTACCTACAACAAACAGGCATACAAGTTTCTAAGCAGGTTCGAGTTTCCTAAGATCCTAATTTACATCATTAGGAAACAGAAGAGAGAAAAACTAAATTCTTATCAAATGTCATACTAGCCAACAAAACAAGAAAAAATCAAATAAAATGCACAGTGGGTAGTACAAAAAGTATAAATAATAAACTGACAAGTCATTTAATTTGTATAGGCTGATTTCCTCTTCAAACATTTTTTCCTTAAATACTATACAAATTTTCAAAGTTTAACAATAATTGTAAATAGCATATTCCTTTTAATTACTTTTTAAAATGCCTTTCAAGACCACAACAACTCAAGGAAGATAACGTTATGATTTTATGCAATTAACAAAGGTATATATGCAACAAAATACAATGACACAGGAGACTGCCACTGGATCAGTAGAACAACTCTCTGCAGACTATACTATGAGAGCTCCCTAGATAGAGAGACCTCGATTGAAATAACTCATCTAGCAACTACTATGCTCCTTGAAAAAATTTCTTAAATGTAAAATCATGGGAGAAGGATGGGCAATCTCTTCCAGTGAGATTAAATGCCTCAATCTCAAAGCACAAGGTTCGAGGCCACCAGCTGAGCCCCAGGAGAAGGATGGGCATCTCCTCCCGTGCAATTAACTGCCTCTGAAAACCTGTCAGAGGGTCAGCTACGGATCAGTTCTGACTCTATGGTACACAACAACAAACATAAAATGGCAGTAAATAAAAAAAAAAATTCATATACCAAGTAATTTGTTACAACAATTCTGTTTGAACTAAATAAAAACAAAAAGATGAGAGAACCCTGACATTTACAACAAAAGGAAAAAAGCAAACCAAGTATTTAAATAACAGATTTATAATTTCAAGATATTTCTTTGTAAGCACTCAACTTTCAGAATTTCGTGGAAATAAAATCTGTAACAGAACACATTTCAAAAAATGTAAGAAATTCTTCCTTCCCTCACTCCCTGATTATTTTATTCTAAAGACACTGTAAAAGTGCTAGTGTGACTCACATCAACGACTAACTTTCTCAGGGCACAGGATTATTTCTTCACACAATAACTTAAAAACAATCTGGTCATACCCAATAGAGTTCTTTTCTCAGGATAACTTTCTAAAAATCATGACTAACACAGTTCATGAGGGTTTGGGTCTGTTTACTGTATCTTACTTTGATTCTCTCTAGGAAACTAGGGGTTTTAAGTGCAATTTTAGACTAAATGTCAAAGAATGTTAACAAAATATGTCTCTATTTTAAACTGCAAGAAGAGAGATTTATTCTTGTTAAGTAAATAGTTCTCTTTAGAGGTAAGAATGACAAGATTTTTGTCTCACATACTTTGGACATATTTTCATGAGAAACCATTCCCTGATGGAGGATATCACCTTTTGGTAAAGTAGAATTAAAACAACAAAAAAAGACCCTGAACCAAATATTACATAATGGCTGCAATAATGGGGTCAAACCACAACTGTGATGATCATATAGGACTGCATAGCATTTAGTTCTATCATACAAAAGGCCACTATGCCATAAGAATCAACTCAAAAGCACCAAACAAGGTAAAAATTTCAACAGCAACTTCTGGAAAACCAAAGATCAGAAGTATTTTTAACACCAAATTTCTTTCTCTTTTTTTAAAAACCCAAGCAGCTATTTTTTTTTAAAATCTCTTTAAAAAGTATTACACTAAAATAATTAGATTATACTCTTAATGTGAAAAGTACTTTCACAATCAAATGAGTTTGTCTTTGCATAACAAATGGCTTAAAGAGGGGAAGAAAATCTCAATAAATACAAAGTAAAACTTGTTACCAAGTATATTACCACAGTCTAACAAAAAAGTTGTATTGTTGTTAAATCAGAGTTAGTAAAAAAGGTTAAAAAAAAAATTACACACAATGTGTTTTTCCCTTCTCTTAAAGAGAGCTTTCATCTTTGGAAGGAATCCTAGCAGAACAATGGTTAAACATTCTGCTATTAACCAACCTAAAAGTCAGTGGTTTAAACCCACCAGTCCCTCTCTAAATGAAATGACCTGGCAATCTTCTTCTATGAAGATTACAGCCGAGGAAACCTTTTGGGGTAGTTCTACTCTGACCACTCTGGTCTCTAGGTTAGAATCAATTCAATGGCATGGGACAACATAGCCTTTAGAAGAGATTCGGTTGGTAGTTTGAGACTAGAGGATTCTCAGAAGAAAAGCCTGGCATTCTGCTTCTGAAATGTCACAGGACTTGAAAGCCCTAAGGAACACAGTTCTACCCATGTATATTACACACCCTATGTTACGAGGTTGCCATTAGTCAGAATTAACATAACAGCAAGTGGTACTGATTTTGGAATTCCATTAAACACTTTCAGTTAGCTAGGATTTCCTCATTAACACCAAATATTCCCCAAAATATAATATCTGAGAAGTTACAATCATTAACAAACACAATGCTACTTGAATTCTATCAATTCTTATAACTCTAATTTCAATTAAAAGTGGAGCTTTACATACAACCTTTCACAAACCTTGGAGGACTCCTACCTAGATATTTTTGCCCCAAGAAATCTAAAGTAAGAGACTATCCCCTCAGGAAGGAAAAACCTTCCTACATTTTGGTCCTATTACCTTACAGTTTCAGGGAAATGATGCCCTCTTGGCTTGGTGTTGTTACTTGTCTCAATTCTGAGCAAACAACACTGAAGCTTGGACAGGTCCATCTCAGTCACTCATTGTCATCAAGTCGGAAGTGATTCCAAGGTGACTCTCCACTAGGTTACAGAGGGTGTCAGTCTCACTGAAGAAATTACCAACTTTACTCCCTCAAACTACCCACCCTCCCTCAAAGTCTACGGGGGATTCGAACCACCATAAAAGTGCAGCCTTTGAGTTAGCAGCACAACTCCCTATGGACTGTCAGCCAAGAGTGTTAAAGTAGCAAGTTAAAAAAAAAAAAAAAGGCAGAAATTAAACATAGGTTTGACTGCCATAACAACAACCTACAATTCCCAAAGAAAAGAAAAGCTACATTTCTAACATAGAGTTCATTCTATGAAAAATCAGACTTCGTAAAATAAGAAGGGAGAAAAATCTGGAGAACCGGCACTAAAACACTGCAAACACACAAAACTGTATGAAACACTGAAAAGACCGCCTACCAAGTATACCCCCGAGAATCAGCTATTTAATAAATCCTAGGCTGAGATTAATATCAATCCCTTTAACCAAAACATTAAATATTAGAGATCCAGTAATATCAATTTTTTTTTTTTTTGCCTGAGGGAAAAAGAGAAAGAAGTGATGATGGGAGGAGTTTGGGGTCCATTTTCTCTCTGCTCCACTTTTCAACTGCTGATTCTCAGTGACCCAGACCTGGATGTGGGTCCTAAGAGAATCCCTAAAATAGGATTAAAGATGAAGCAGGTGCAAAAAAAAAAATTAAATAAAATAAAATAATAATAATAATTCAGTCCTCACTTCTAACAAAGAGAATGGTTGCTAACAATGTCATTTACAGCATCACACAAACTATTAGAGGCAATTTTCCCTTCAAGAGCTTAGGTAGAGTTTGGGGATTCCTACATTGACTCTATCCTAGGACATGGTGCGCACACCCAGGTGGGTGGTCCCGGGCAGGTCACCCCCCCACCCTGGCCTCTTCCGAGGCATTCCCTGGCCAGTGATGTCCAGCTCCAGATCTCCCAAACCCGAGGAGGCCAGGGCGGGACCCGTGCCAGAGGGAGAAGGCAGGAGGCCTGCCCAGATCTGGCCATCCATCCATGTCCCTGGTCCCGGGTCCCCGCCCGCCGTCGGCTCCGCCCCCGGGCCTCAGAGAAGGACCACAGCGCACCCCTGTGTGCGGACCTACAACCTGCGGCGCCCCTCTAGACGACTGGGGCCACTGCTGCCCGCGCCCCCCACTGTGCAAGCCCCCCGCTCCGCGGCCGCGCCCGCAGGCCGAGCTCACCTCCAGGCGCAGGGAGGCCCCGCAGCCTCGCAGGAACTCGCGGATGTTGCTGAGACACTCGCTCTCGTTCCGGGGCTCTGGGTAGACCTGCAACAGAGAGTAGAAGCGCTGAGGGTGGTACGACAGGGGCATGGAGGCCGCGGACATGCACTGAGCACGGGCCCCAGGCGGCGGACCCCACTGGCAGCCGCGCTTGCAGTTCCCTGCGGCCCGGCTTGATCCTAGCCACCCCGTCTCCAGAGTGCTTGGGCTTAGCTTTTTGCTCACCCTTTTCCCTTCCTCTCCGGCTACACCAATCCACCCCTTCCCACACCAGGAAGTAGACCTGGCACCGGAAGTGACGCACCCGGGCAGCGCCCCCGCCCCACTCCCCGCACTCAGCCTTTTCCTTCAGTGCGGGCTTCTCTTTTGACACCGCTCAGCTCCTTCCGAGGGTGCAGCGCGTCCCGACCGCCTCAAAGAGGCCTGGGAAAACTCAGTCTGTTCGGCTTGACCCGCCCTGAAGGGGCTGCGAGGGTCCCAGAGTTTCTTCTGTTCATCCTAGCCCCGATTTGGGGACAGCGGGCTGTCCTAATCCTCCCTTCACCTCATTGCCCCAAAGTAAAAACAGATTTACAGCTGACCCTCCAGCAGGTTTTCCACGGCTGTGAATCACACTAAAGGTGATTGTCCATTTCGCTCCCGCAGAACAACTAGTGGAGTCAAATGGCCTGTCTCTGGATGGAGAGCGCAACTCCTTTACCCACTAGGCCATCTAATGCTGTGATTTAAAGTAATTACCATAAATTTTGCATGTTGTGATTAAAATAGGGAGTTCTGGTAGCCTAATGGTAAACTGTGCCACAACCAAAAGGAAAGGGTTCGAATCCGCCAGCTGCTCCACGGGAAAAGCAAGAGCAATGTCCTTCTGTGTAATTAATAGCCTCTGAAAAGCCATCTGGAGTGTCAACTATAGAGTCCCAACTTGAGGGCACACACAATGAAAAAAGTGCAAATTACTTTTCTCAAGTCAAGCCTGCATTCTTCCTGAATAATTGACCAAAATAAATCACAACTAAAAAGTGGCTCAGTCAACTGGGGAGAAATTTTGGTTTATGGAGCCTCCTCTCCCAACAGAAGAAGGTAGAGAGGATGGCATGTTGTAGACTGCCAACAGCATTAAAAGTCTTCCCAAATCAAACTGTAAGGGCTAGACCTAGCAAAAACCTAAGGAAAACAGGACCTCCTCAAATCATGGAAAACAATCTAGAGGAAAAACTTGAGACAAGTACTAATTTTTAATCTAAAGAATATTTTAACTGGTTAATAAAATGAACCTTTGAAACTGCATATGAAGACACTTAAGGGTTGGCACTTAGATTCAGGCATCATTTGTAATACCAGCTTTTGAGAACATTCAAGGCTTTTCTGTCCTGCCTCTAGGGGGAAATCATGATATTCCATTAGGGCGCTCTGAAGAATATACTGCAGTTTCATTTCTAAATGTTCCGTTCTTTTAAAACTACAAATCAAAACCAGGTGTCGAGACCCAAGGAGGATCCAAATGGGGCATTACTTTTTTTCTACAGTTGAAAGAGTCTTAGGAGAAAGTGCTGACATGATTCCTTACAAACTGAACAGTTCTTTCTCAATGTAACAGCAAAGCCAAAGCTGCCTCCTAGTCCAATTGCTTTATGCACTTTTTTGGCACATCTCCTCAATAAACTAAGGTTCTTAAAAATTATGTACTATGTAAATAATATGTTGTTGTTGTATACCATCTATTAGCAACCGACTCAGGGCTGACCCTCCAGAAAATTTTCAAAGGCAGTTAGTTAAAGCGTAGAAGGAGACTGCTCATCCTTCTTCTGTGGAACAGCTGGCGCATGCCTTTGAGATTGCAGGGCCACTTCTTGTCACTAGGCCCACCAGAGGCAGTATATCTCACCAGAATTCATTGCCCAACTTTCTCCCAGCAGAGCACCTAGTGGATTCAAACCAGGCATTGGCAGCTCAATTCCTTACTACTAAACTACCAAAGCACCACAAAATATGTAGTTAACAGCAAAACTGTTCCTTTACTATTTATATAGTTGCAAAGAATGTTATTCTGATTGTATAGTAATGGCATTTTAAAACCATGTTAAAAAAATTTGCATTCTTTTAAAAAAATTCTGCCCTTCCAAAGACGATGACTAGCAGCATTCTAAATAGTCCAAAGTCTAATACTGTCCTGATTATCCTCTAATACAGCTCTAACATAAATAGACTGTTCTGAAACCCTGGTAATAGAATTGTTTGCCTTTGTACCAGAAAGGTTGGGAAAACACCAAATCCTCTTTATTAAGGAGTCCAAGTTGACTTTGAGGGGATTGTGCTATGAGCTCCTCAGTTCTTCTGAGGACAACCAGAACAAATTCATGCCAGCAGAGCCTAGTGGTTCCATATGTGATAAAAGTATTCTTCACCAGATCACGCATGAGTTCTTTATTGAGCAGCAAATAACTGTGCAAGTGTGAAGGCACAGACTCAGAAAGCCAAATTTTTGAAAGTAAAGCTTCTTAGAATAATTTTTTAAAAATCAAAAGAGAAAAAATATGTGTGTATGTGTCTGTGTGTAGCTCCAAAGGACTCTTAAATACCCCAGGAATTTGATACTCATCATCTACATAAAAAAATCTATTCTTCATAAGTCATAATTTTATGACTTGCCTCTTTTAACTTGTCTATATTCCACTTCCGGCAGTTCTCTGCTGATGTGCTGTTCTAAT